TATTGACAAGACTTTACAAAGGGTTAATTATAATAACATGCGATTAAAGCTCGTTATTTTAATTTTATATACTTTCTTACTACTTAATATATTTAATACGAGTAATATATTATCTTTTTAAAAGGTTTTTAGTTTTTTGTTACCGTTTTATTAGTTAAAACAAGAAAACGATAAAGAAAAGGGCTATAAAGAATCGGGTTTCACATTTTTATTATTTGTTTAAATAAAAAAAAAGCGTCTTCGTTACTCTTTTAACTAAAAGAAAGCTAGATAACTTTTATTAAAAGAATCGCCGCCGACTTGTAAGCGACTTAAGAATTAAGTATTAAGCTTTTCTTTACTTCGATCGTTTAACGTTTCGAAAGCTTTTTTTAGCTATTAAATGTTTTCTTTTGATTCCGGATCCGAACTAAAAGTTATCGGCTTTTTCTTGCTTAATTTAAAGTAAGACCGCGAGATTCGAGAAAGTCGTAAGATTAAAGCTAACGCCGAAAAAGACTTTTAGATGCAACGTAAAGAAGCTCGTAAAATTATAAAAGATGCTGCTTAAGCCGAGCAAAAACGCCGCCGCAACTTTTAATTTTAAAAGTTAATCTTTCTTTCGGACTTATTACAATTGTATATTATTCTAGTTAAGTATAAGCCGGCGGTAAGTAGAAAAAAATAACAAATGATTTAAGATTTTCATTCGATTATAAAAGCTATTTAAATAGACTTTTGCTTTCGCTATAACGAAAGATAATTCGAAATGCGATTTAAAAAAGTCCGCGGCGATATCATTTATTACGAGTATAACCGCTATAATAGATTTATTAAAAAGCCGGATCTCTTTAAATAGCTTTATTTTATAATAGCTAGTAATAATATAAACTTAAGTAAAGTGCCGGATTACTTGCCGAAGCTTTCGGTATTAAAAAAAGCGTTAATTTTATCGTTATATATTAATATATCGCTTTAGCGCTACCGCGGCTATTAATATAAGTACTCGAGCTACGTAATAACTTTTGCTTTTAATAACGCTAAGTTCTTTAAAAACCTTTCTTTGCTTTTTAAAAAAGTTAACGTAATTATTCTTAAGCTTAAAAGTTTTGATAAAGATCTTCGGATTAGCAAGCAGTTTAAAAAAGAATACCGAGTTCGGCGCTTTGCGATTTATATTTAACTTACTTTTTTAAAAGCAAATAATCTTAAGTATATTAATATTAATATAAACTAAGACTTAATAGATTCTTTGCTCGTAGATAAAGATATAAGAAGACAGGTTACAATTATTAAAGACGAAACACTTGAACAGCTTTTATTAAAGATAACGGCTTTAAATATAAAGTTATCGGCATAAAAACGCCGCCGCTTACGCCGAAAAGCTTACGGTAATCTTAAAGAAGATTCGAACGAAAATAAAGCTTTTACAAACGATAAAAATGCTTTACTTAATATAAAAGATCATTTAAATACTAACGATGATTTACTTGATAATCAAAAGCGTTTTCTTTTAAAGATTATAGTTCTCGATTTAAATTTAAATACTACGGAATCTAATTAGCTTTTTACTTAAGTTAATAAACTCGTATCGAAGCAGCATGTTTTTGCTTTTGCTTTAAGCTAGCGATCTACGCTAATCTTTAAGCTAAAACTTAATTAAAAGCTCTTTAGTTTAGCTTTTCTTATACTTTTTTTTATCGGCGCAAGCGATTTTTATATTTAACGATTGCGAAAAGTTAATATAAAAGATTATACTAAACACTTAATAAAGTATTACGATAAGCGTTTTGCGATTTACTTTCGTTTTTAGTTCTACTTTTTTAATATTTTAATGCGCTTTAAAGTCGTAAAAGTATTTTTTTACTTTGTTAAGTTTCGAAAAGATATTAAAGACTTAAGTATTAATAGTTTACGAGATCAATTAAAAGAGCAGCTAGCTTTTTTTAATTAAATCGTGCGTTATAAGCAAGCTATCGATAGCACTCGTCTTTTTTAAAAGAAGCAAAGCTATTAGCTAAAAGCATTAACTAAGTCTTAGCTAAACGCTATAGCAGCTTTTCTTATATAAAGTATTGCGGATATATAATAAAAAGACTTTTAGCGCTATCTTCTTCGGTATAACAAATATAAGGCCGCTAATTAAGCTAAGCGAGCTAAGATAGTATAAGATAATGTTTAAGAGAACTCGGTTATTATTGCTTATTATATTTATATTTGTTAGCAAGCTTTCTTATAAGATATCTTAAGTTATTATTTGCTATATATTGATTTTTAAGCGCGATAAAAATAGCAAGACTATAGCTCGAGCTATATTTACGATATATTTTAATTAAAAAGCAGACCGAACGATGCGAGCGAGCTTAGACTTAATATAAACTTTAAGAAAGACGATTACTTTCGTATTTTAGATTTCGTTAGCTTTTAAAAGGATTATATTATTGTATATAACTTTAATACAACTCGTTTGCTCGATTTATAAAACCCGACCTCTTTACTTTTTAATATAATTAAAAATATAATCGATTAACTTATTACGTTAATTAATCGGATATAAATCTATCGCGTTTGTTCGACTAAATACTGTTTACGTAAAAACAAAGATATAAAAGTCTTTTTATGCAGATTTTACTATAAGCGTCTTATATAGCTCATAACTAATTATAATCGAAAGATCAATCTTCGCAAGTATTAATTTGTCGCTTAACGCAATTATCTTTTACAAAACCTTTTCTTATTTGTTTTTATATTAAGCTGATTAGCTAATACGGATATATAGCTTGTATCTAGCTTTAAAAGTCTTTTAAAGTACGCTTTTAAGTATTACTTTAAGCATGAAAAAGAATCCGACTTTTATAAAGATATTATTAATATAATTCTAAAACACATTAACGCTAAGGCTTTAGCCTTTTCGCTAGTCTTTAAGATGCTTAATAAGCTGCTAAGAGAGAAGGATTATAGCGCTTAAGAGGTTTGTTACTTGCTTTTTAAGATCAATTTGATTAAATCTATTCGAAACTTTATTAATTTAAATTGCCGATTAAATAAAGAAAAGAAGTATTAAGTGGAATTGAATGAATATAAATTAGAACTTAAACTTTTTAACTTTTAGCAGTACCGATAACGCTTCGAACGAATTAAAAAGGTTACTTTCTTGGATTTCTTTAAAGTTTACGATATATATACTTGCAAAAAGAAGCACTTTTTACGAAAAAGCAAGCTTTAGATTATCAATTACTTTTTTTAATATTTAAATATTAAGGTTTATGATAATTATAAGTATAACGCGCGCATTTATTTAATGCTATATTATCTTTATCGAAAAGAAAACGATTTACTTATTAATATTATCGAGAAAGAGCATCCGATATTCGCTTTAATTTATAACGCTTACAAGCGTTTTTATCGAGATCTTTATAGCAATTCTTTATATATGCTCGATTATTACGATCTTTTTTTTATAGCTAACGAAGAAGACGAAACTGGTTTAAACGATGAATACGATATAAAAAGCTTTAAGCTTCGAGACCGTAATAATATTAACGCAAAAGAAGAATAGAACTTACGGAATCTTCGAAATCTTAGTATTGTTTTTATAAACGAAGACGATATATCGAATCGCTTCGAAAATCTTGCTTATAATTAAGATTCACATATTAGTAAATACAACATTCTATTTATTTATATTCGAGATTAAAGAGCTGTTATAAAAGTATTTAACATACGAGTTAGCGCTACTCGAAGTTATAACTTTAAAAGGCTTTCCGATAAGCAGAAGAGGTTTTACTATTTTATAATAGACTATTATATTATAGTATTATTAAACTAACCCTTTTTACAACTGCTAATTTATTTCGACGGCAAAGCTAGCACGAGCAAAACCTACTTTATTTTAGCTACTTGCGTTCGGCTTTAAGATATAGCGAATGAAGCTAGCAAGTTAAATCTAATTATTTAAGTAGCGCTTATAAGTATTACTGCTTTTAGCATCGCAGGAGCTATATTACATTCTTTATTAGCGCTACTAATTAAATATTATATTATAAACAATTCTCTTGTTACTTTCTAGACTTTTTAAGCGAAATTCAAAGACTGCAAGTATTTAATTATTAATAAGAAATCAATAATTGATTTAAAAGATTTCGCTCGAATTTAACGGCGCTATGCTTAAATTTTCCTTGAATCTTAAAAGCTATTTAAAAGTCTAAGTATTTACTTTTGTAATGATTTTTACTAGTTACCGCTAGTTAAAAAGAAGTCTTTATTTGTAACTGTTGTGCGGAACATGCATGGTTCTACCCAAGCTACATATGACATGTCATGTGACCTCGCTTAGTAGCGCCCTTAGCACACTAGAGCTCTTAAGTATATGTACATAAATCTTGACGAGCTTTTTAGATAAAACATATTAAGCTTCATTTAATTTATAAAATCTCTTTTTGATCTTAGTGCTAATAAGCATTACAATTAAGAGCTATATTCGTACTTACGAGCTATTTAGTTAGTCTTTAACAACTTTCGAATTAATCGAAAGCGGATTCTACGAGTCACTTTAACGCTACTTCGCTATAATTTTCATTTTGCAATCTATCTTTTTCAATTATATTTATTCTTTATAACTAACACTTATTACTCTTAAGAACTCTAACTAATTTTCAAAAGCTTTAATTATAAAATCAATTGTTATAATAATAAACGATAAAGTAAAAAAGGTTTTTTTAATTAATAAAACGAACTTTATAAGTCGTAGCGACTTTTTAAAATAGATTACGAATTATAAATACTTTATTAAGCGCTTTAATATAAAATAATACGCAGCTCTTCGTATTAACGTAAAAGAACCTGCTTTTTTTATCGAATAGATTAAATTAAAAACGAAGTTTGCTATAAAGATAATAACGAAGCTTAATAACGAATACTTTTAAAACTAAGATCGCTAACGAAAAGTGTCGGTATATCCATATCGACCTTAGCTAGTAGTAGTAGTAGTAGTAGTAGTTGGGGAAGCTCACCCGTGAACCATGGTTCACGGGCCACTTGGCATGCCTCGCTTAGCATGTCAGCAGTCAGGGGACCCCCAACTTGACAAGTAAATCTATTAGCTAGCTAGTGCACGTGATTCCTTTTAATCGTATAGAAGGAATCAGCTCCTTTGAGCCTTGGGGAGCAGACAGAATTCAGATACTTTATCAACCGAGTGTTTTGCAATTGCAAGTACTTTGACGACCGTTACGACCTTACGAATATATATTCCTAATCGCTTAGAAGCAATCTAACACTGATCAGTGGTTGATTTACTATTAAGTGATCAATCATAGAGAAGCTAGGAATACTTTATAGCGAGGATACCTTTCACTACGATACTTCCCTTTTTCTATAACGGAAGAGCGATTCCGTACCAAGTCGCTTCTTATACTACCGATTTTCTTTTATTCTTACGGAAGAGTGATTCCGAACCAAGTCACTTTTATACAACTTTCAAAGCTGTAGAGCCGCGCTTGTTACACACAGCAAACTTAACCAACACGATCGATCTACGTACGAGCAGACAATAACTATAGCCGATCGAGCAACTAGACCTCTAGGTAGGGAGTTTAGCCGACAAGGAGCAGTAAGGTATTATACCCTTCGAGTCTCATCACCACCTACGGAACCCTTAGTTATTTAGCCAAAAGGACCATTATACCCAAGACTCCCAAGCCTCTCGGAAGGACCAGACGACGAGATGTCGGGCATCTCATTTGACCTAAACGAGCTACTATACGCAAGGCTAGATAGTAAGATCACGGCTCGAGCGATAGTGAACGACTTCTTGGATGCGAAGTGTAGAGGGCTGAGGGATTACGACTTGTGGAGCTTATTCCGGCACGCTTTCTCACGCTAGGATTGGACTAGTTTTACAATGACGGGGGACAATACGGGACGAGGCCTTAAGTTTGCTACCCTTATTAGCCTCAAGGAACACTTGCTGTCCAAAGGCGTATGGTGCTCCTTAAAGCAAAGGGGCTACGCTAATGGGATGGTCAAGCTTTTGAACGACGAGCAGCAACACTAATAGACCTTTCAGGAAATAAAAGAGCAATAAGCAACACCCTTAGGCCTCGATTCAAGGTGGACCGAAAACCTCACGGACGACGAGGATAATACGCTTCAACTACCTCTACCACCCCTACGAAGTCCAAAAGGGAAGGAGAGGGAAAAGGAGGAAGAGATTCGGAGGTTACGCGAAGAGTTTGCGAAGGAGAGGAAGGATATGGAGCAAAATATAGAGGTGATGGCAAGGCAAATAGCGGAATTACGGACTTACGCTATACAATCTAATGAAGAGCTACGACGAAGCACTTTAGCGTACTCGACGCCTTCAATTCATCAATCGCTACGCAATACGCCAATCATACAAGAGCCAAAATCACTTCAGCGGCTTTCAAACCTCTTTCTCAAAGGCTATACTTAGTTTTCTGAAAAGCCTGGACCGAGTAGCAACAAAAATAGTCTTGAGATCATCATCGGACCAGACAACACTCGAGGCTACGAGAGCTATACGCCAAAAGAGGACCCGCCAAAACCTGAGAGCATTCCGGACAAAATCAGCTCTCGCTAAGGACAGCGTGCAGATTTCCGTGCCTAACTTAAGCAACCCGAGAAGGGAATTCAGCAACTCGAGGAGGGGATCTAGCACCCTCGGACGTACCGACAAGCTCCTTAGATCCCTTAACAGGCCACGTATCGACAAAAGGGATACTAAGGGTATGAGAATCGCTAAGAACGCGCCCAAGGGTACGGATATCATTAAGCTAGAGCTTCGGCTGGTGACTTAAATAGCCTTGGCGATCCTGACGATGACCGACGAGAGGAAAACGGAGGAGATTGGCAGGGAGATCGAGGTTACGGATACGGAAAAGGTAGGAACGGGCCTCTTGGACTACTAAGGGGATTCGAAAACGGACCCTTAAAGGACCTCGGATTCGGAAATGAGCCTCTTAAGGACCTTAGAAGAGGACGGACCACCGGCAATTATATCGGTAACCCTTTACCGATCAGACTATTAGCCAGGCACAACACGCTTGCGTACGGCACTCTAAGCGCCCTTGACGATGATAATGACGATTTCTTTGAGCTAAGAGCAACTGACCTTCACCTAAGAGCAAAAGAGTTGGCTTTGTTTGCAAGAAGCTTTCTTAAAGAACTGAAGTATTCGGGACCCGACGATGACTTCAAGACTTAATTGGGTATTTTCGCTAACCAAGCAAGTCGGTACGGCTTGACATCCGACGACTATTTAGCAGCGTTCTCAATTATGCTTACGGGAGAGGCTATAACCTTTTATTACAATCATGTGATAAAAGCCAGGCTTCCGACGTTTAAAGCAAACGCTATTGCTGTGAAAGACCACTTCGAGACTGACCACCGGCGGCAAGCAAAATACGACCGCTAAGAGGAAATTTCGCTAGATTTGGTCAGGAAAGAGAATCCAGGGACCTCGTTTAGCGAGTGCTTTGAGAAGCTCGTTAAAGAGCTTAAGGGCATTCAAGGCTTTTTACGACCAGGTTTGAGGGACGATCGAAGTCTTGCTGACAAGCTGTATTCAGCTTGTAAAAACGTATTAGAGACTACGATTGCACGAATGAACCTTGCCTTTACTTCTACCGCCGCAGTTGCCGACATTCGCAAGGCTATTGCGTTTGCAACTAAGACCTCCCGACCTCCTGCTAAGGCGAGTAGAGCTTACGCGAGCTCTAACGAGCTACACGATCACACCTGCTCTTAGCACAACACTTCAGAGGCTGACTTCGATTTGGACGAGGAATACGAATGCTTTATTTAAGACCGCCAATACTTCGGAGGTAAGAAAGCTGCCAAGGCTACTAAGGATGAGAAAAGGTGTTTTGTTTGCAGAAAGCCAGGTTGCTAGAGCACTAACTACACCCCCGACGAAAAGAAGGCATCCGTCGCCAAGTTCTAGGCCTTTAAGGACGCAAAAAGGGTGACGAGAAGCAAATTTTCTTAATACGTAGCGTCGATCGAGGGCTGGCTACTTATATCTACGAAAGAATTCGATTAGTTTATCGCAGGCCTACTAAACGAGCCACCCGAATCGGGCAGCTACGCTAACATGTCGAAAGGTTTTATGACTACTTACGGCACTTTTGACGCTGACGAGGTATACAAACAGCTGGAGATTCAGACGGCATTCTACGCCCTTACTAGCCAAGTAGAGACTTAAAAGATGCCCGGGCAAGATCCGCGTGTGCTCGCGGGTAAGGCAGAGACCTACATAGCTTTTAGGTACTCTGAAAACGTGTTCATAAGCCTTATGATTGACAGCGGAGCAGTTAATTTCTCTACCGTTAGCTTGCCTTAGCTACGAGCACTTTAAAAGAGGTACCCCGAGGTCCAATTGGATACATCCCGGGCAAAGGAGAAGTCCGTTAAATACGGCATCGGCTCTGCCACCTTTATTGGAGCAGTTACCTTAGATACTCTTTTAAGTCAAGTGGAGTTTTACGTTGTAGAGAGCGACGTACCTTTCTTACTTTTATTAGCTGACATAGACAAGCATAAGGTGATCTTGGATAACTTGCGGAACGTGCTAGTCCAAAGGAAGAAGGAAATACTAGTAGTAAGGATGTTTGGGCACGTGTAGATGCTATTGAGTAAAAAGCACGCTGCTATCTATTATAGTACCGAGGGCGAGACCGTCTATTGCTACTTTACGGAAGAACAATTGAGGACTATTTACAAGCGTTTTGGCCACCTTTTAGCAGGTCGATTTGCTGCTGTTCTTAAAAGGGCCGGGCACGAATTTAGGCGAGATTTGCTTTATAATATCTAAAAGTTTTGCTACTATTGTTAAGTATTCGGACGCTCTCCGAAGAGGTTTAGTATTAGACTTAAGGACGATATTGATTTTAATGATACGGTATACGTAGACGTAATGCACTTTGACGGCAAGAACGTATTATACGTCGTTTGCGATTCTATTAATTTTCAAGCCGCTACTTTCTTTAAAAGCATGTCCGCACAGCACTTACTTGAGGGATTCAGTCGATGTTGAGTTAATACTTACGTCGGACCTCTTATAAACGTAATGCACGATCTCGGAACCAACTTTAATTCGGCAACGTTCCGAAGCTACCTTAAAAGTATTAGTAGCACTTTAAGGCAGATGCTTGTAGAAGCCTATCACAGCGTCGGGCTAGTAGAACGCTATTACGTCCTTGTGCGACGCGCTTTTGAGATCGTTATAAAGGAGCTTCCAAAAGCCTTAAGGGAGGACCGGCTTCAAATGGCTATTAAAGCTATCAACGACACAGCTGGACTTAATGGCCTGGTTCTTATACTCTTCGTTTTTAGGACCTTACCGAGGCTGACGGAGCAAGATCGACTTGCCGCGTTTACTTAAGAGCGTGCTGCTGCTATCAATAAGGCTATAAAGGAAGTACGAAAATGCTACGCTGCGAGGCAGGTTAAGGACGCGCTCAAGAGGAAGAATAGCCCAATTACGGAGCATACCTTAGACCTCTTTATTGGCTTACGGGTGCTAGTGTGGCGGGAAAACCAAGGGTGGAAGGGCCCTTTTTAGCTGCTTAGCAAGCAGGGGCACACGTGCACAATAGCTTGTCCGAGGCTTACGGAATTCAGGTCAACCTTAGTAAAACCTTACTACTTTGAAGTTGAAAAGCTGCTAAAGGAGTTGCAAGTACTTGAGGTAGAGGTAGAAGAAGAGGTGGAAGAAGAAGTGGAAGATGATTAGAGCGAAAGCGAAAAAGAGCTGGAAATACGAAATTCGCTTAAACCTTAACATTCGCTTAATCCACCGAGGTCGCTTAATTTAAGAAGCTCGCTAAGACTAACAAACAGCCTTTTTAACCTTTAACTTGCTAATCCTTAAAAGTCAACAATACTAATGGTTTAGATACCTTACTAGAAGTACGATCTTAGTATCTCGACCGTGCTCGACGAAGAGGAGGGCGATTCTTACGTTTTATTTACTAAGGACTTTAAAGTGTTGATTACCGACAAGGAACGCCGGGACTATGAGCTCTTAGCTAAGCTACGAGCTGAAGGAATCATCAAGAGCCCCGGGGCATCATTTCAAGAGTCTAGAGCAAAGGAATTGGCTGGATTGATAGCTTAAGGCATCTTTTAAGTGATCTCGAGCACCGACTTACGCGCTAAAGGCGCTAAGATCTTCGGATCTAAGTTTGTTGATGAGATCAAAGGCAAGGGAACACTTACGCTATACGAGAAGTCTCGTATAGTAGTCCAAGCTTTTTAAGACAAGGGCAAAACGAAGGTACTCACCGAGTCACTTACGGTGCAGCGAGCGGGCTAAAGACTTTGTTGTGCTTTAGCTCTTTCTTTGATAAAGGATTACGAGTGTCAAGTCTGTAGCAAAGATATCACTTAAGCTTACACTTAGTCAAGCACGAAGCTCATTCGAATAATCGTCGTGCGATTACTTAAAGAGATTACTTATCGATTCCTTTTTAGCACTTTGTTCTTTATGACTGGCCTTTTGTATAAGATCCTCGAGGCAGGAACGCATTAGTATAAGCGTTTTTCAAAGCATTTCACGGACAACCTCGGGATGAGGCAATCGAGCTTTGATTCTTGCCTTTTTGTGTTAATTAATAAGGATCAGTTAAGAATAGCTGCTTTACAGACGGATGATGTTCTTATGATTGTCAATCTAGTTATAAAGGTAAGGGAGGAGAGGGAGCTGGTCAAATCTAAGCTGAAGAGCAAGGAAATGGAGACCTTTACACACGCCGAGCTAATGATTTTTAATGGATGCAAGCTATCTTTGGATAAAGAAGGGTTCGGACTGTTAGTTAGGCAAAAGAGGCAAGGTGAGAGGCTTGCAGTGATCAAGCTCGATTCAGCTATACGGGCTAAAGAGTACTTAGAGCAACGTGCCCGAAGGGCGTATTTGGTTACTATTTGCTACTTAAAGGCATCTTGCGCTTTATCGATGGCCGCTTAATACTAGGAACCGAGGGACGAGGATTACAAAGCCCTTAACAAGGTGATCTAGTGGCTGATCGATCACCTAACTCGAGGGATCTATTACGTGCTTTTGGACTTGAAGATTGCGAAGCTCTTTGTGTTCGTAGACGGAGCGTTTGCTAACAACGCTAACCTTAGCTCTTAGATCGGTTTCGTAGCTATCTTTGGCAATGAGGTTTACGTAAGTGAGAACGAGTTCATTCTGACGGGTAACATCTTACATTAAGTGTTATAGAAGTGCAAGAGGGTGACAAGAGCAGTATTAGCCTTTGAGCTATACGCGATGTCCTTAGGTATCGATATAGCTATTGCTATGTCGACTACTTTTACTTAAATCACGGCTTAGCTAGGAATCCTTAACTTTCTCGTAGTCGTGTGTATTGACTCTTACTCGCTTTACGAATGCATAGTAAAACTAGGGACTATTAAGGAGAAGCGTCTAATGATCGATATTATAGCTATTCGGGAGTCATACGAAAGGCGAGAGCTCTTTAAGGTACGCTGGATCGGAGGCAAATTTAACCCTGCTGACGCCATGACTAAAATCGGGGCTAATATCTCTTTGCAAGAGCTAGTTTTGACTAATACTTTGAAGGTGCAAGTCGATGGATGGGTGGAAAGGCCGCTATAGAAGGAAGAGGGAGATTGTTTTTCCTTTGTTTAATTACCTCCTTTTTTTTTCGGTCGATATAGTAGTTGGCAAAGCACTATTTGCTAAAGAGAGAGTTGCCGGTGTCGGTATATCTATATCGACCTTAGCTAGTAGTAGTAGTAGTAGTAGTAGTTGGGGAAGCTCACTCGTGAATCATGGTTTACGGGCCACTTGGTATGCTTCGCTTAGCATGTCAGCAGTCAAGGGACCTTTAACTTGACAAGTAAATCTATTAGCTAGCTAGTGCACGTGATTCCTTCTAATCGTATAGAAGGAATCAGCTCCCTTGAGCCTTGGGGAGCAGACAGAATTCAGATACCTTATCAACCGAGTGTTTTGCAATTGCAAGTACTTTGACGACCGTTACGACCTTACGAATATATATTCCCAATCGCTTGGAAGCAATCCAACAAAAAGCTTAAGATGAATAGCACTTAAAAGCTTTTGCAAACGATCTTAATAGACTTTTACGATTACGTAAAGCTGAGTTCGAAGACGTCCGAAAAGCGTATAACGACAACATAAAAGAATACAACTTCGTTATAATTAATTAAAAGATCTTAAATAATAAAAGTAATTAAATTATAAATTAGATTAAACAAACGGTTAAGAGCTTTATTCTCGAAAAAGCGATCTTAACGGTTATAAAAAAAGACAATACTTTTATTTAATTCTTAATAAAAAAGCTTTAAGAAATATGTTGTTTATTTAACTCGAGCTTTAAGCTATCGATAGCACGAGACTATAATAAATCTTTGCAAGTAGTTAAGCAAAAGAGCGTTTTTCTAGCGGTCTAGATTAAAAAACATCGAGCTATTTATAAGTTAGCGAAGATAAACGAGCTTTACGAGACGACGAGCATACTTGCGATAAAAGCATTTTTAAAAGCTATTAACGAAAAATAATTATTAACTTAAGCGTCGCTAAAGCTCGCAAAAGTTATTCGAAACGACGAGTTATTATTACTTTAAAAGCGAACCTTTTACGATTACTTTAATTAATACGAAAGCTAAATTAATAAAAAGACTAGCAATCTGAACTTTAACTTCTTTAATATATTCGCTACTTTCGAAGCTCAAACGACTCGTAGCACTTTCGAAAGTAATAAAGTTAACGATACTGCTTTTAAGTAATCTAGTAAACGCTCCGATAGCTTTAAAAGACTTGTTAAAAGTTTTAAATGCTCGTGCTTTAAAAAAAAAACACATTATTAAAACGCAATCAAGTGCAAAGTCTTTCGCTATTGCTTTAACGGTTTTAACGAAGATAGATTTTTAAAACTGAATCGAAATAATATCGTCGTTATAAAGAAAAAGCTTTAAAAGCTTAAATTTAAAGCGTTTTAAAAAAAGATCACGAAAGAAAGTTAAGCATAAATTTAAATCGATAAGATCGTCTTAAAAAGCAAAAAGAAGCAATCGAATAATAGCGATAAGTTAAAATACTTTAAAAAAGTATTAATAATTATCATCGATCTTAAGCTCTTTAGCAAGCTCGATAATCTTGTCTTTAACGGTCTTTATAGCACGATTAATAATAAGCATTAGTTATTTAATAATACTTTTTTCGATAATTGCGGCGCTATTTATTTTATTAACGATAAGAATCTTTTAATATTAAAGTCAATTTAACGCTTTCGCTTAATCGACTTTATCGAAGCTAAAACGAGTAGTCTTTTAATCGTCGAGCGAAAGATTAGAATTTTTAAAAGAGCTTTAAACGGATTAAATAAAGCTAAGACGAAGGATTTGAAATTAAATAACGTCGCTATCGTTAAAAGGTTTAATATTAATATCATTTCGAAAGCTCTTTTAAGCAAAGCTAGCGTATAATACTCGAGATATAACGCAATTCTCCGCTACGAAAAAGTTAAAGAAAGCGTCGTATTAAAAAAGTTAAAAAAGAAGTTTAACTTTACGTTTTTTAAATATAAGCTATTTAATTATTCTTTGCTTTAATTGATTCGTAGCTCTTTTTGCTTAATAATATTTTTTATAATTTAAAAGCGCTTTTAAATACGCTATAAATTCTAAAAGAATAGTATTTTTCGAGCTTTAAAAAAAGATTTATCGATATTTTAATATTTACAGATAAGTCATTTAAGCAAAAAAGCGCTCGAAGCGCTAGCTTATAACGTTAAAAAAGTAAGACTTAAAAGAATCATTAAAGTTGAATATAAAGCATATACTATTACGTACGCTTAATAAGTTATATTTCGCCGTACGTTAAATAACAAAGTAGTTAAGCTATTTTATAAGATCGCTTAAAATCTATTCGACTATTATAACGGTTTTAACGAAAATAAATAATTATTAATAATTAAAGATAAATATAATAAAAAGCTATTCAGCTTTATATTAAAAGATAAGTTGCAATTAACGATTATAAAAGTGCTAAAAGAATTTAAAGCATAAACGAAACGCAAATACGATCTTTTAATAGCTGTTATGCGTTATAATAACGATTCTTCGGTAATCGCAATTAACGTTATCGGCTTTATCGAATATTAAAAATAAGCGAAAGAGGTTAAGATCGAGTTGAAGCTTTTATTATCTTTTAATTACGAACTTAATAAAAGAGCTAAAAGAATTAAAAGAAAAGTAATAGAACGGTTTATTAAAATAAGAATAAAAGCAAGGCTCTTAAAGAAGCTCTGGCTTAAGATTATACTAGCCGCTATCTACTTTTATAATATAATACCGAGAGCGAAGAGCTTTATAAAAAGTCCGAATAAAATGCTATAGCTTTAGTTTAAGCAATATTTTAAATAATACGATCCGGCGATCTTTATACGGATCGACACCGACTTAAGATCAGATTATAACGGTTTAGTTGCGTATAGCGCTCGTGCGTACTTAATAATCAAAGACCGAAAAGCTTTTCGTAATAAAAAAGCTTTTAAAATTAAACCGAAAAGATATATAAGCTATTTAGTTGGATATATAGCTTTTAATATATATAAAGTCTATGTTCTTATGCTTTATAAAGTGATTATTATACGCAACGTAACGTTCGATAAGATTCGATTTTATTTTAAAGACGAAGAAAAATCGGTCGGCTAATCGATTAGCGAGATCAAGAGCATCGTTATTAAATTAAAAGATATTAAAGATTTTAATTAAACAAAAGACGCTTTGTTTAATATAAAGAACGTTGTAAAAGATCGCTTAAAAAAGACGAATGCAATTAATATAAAAAGTAAGCAGCTGTTAGACTTTATAAAAGTTAAATTAAAAAGATTTAATTAAAGCTTAAAGAATGCGACTTTATTTAATCCGAGCGATGCATAAACGTTAAAAGCTTTAACTTTAATTAAAGACTTTATAAATACGTTTATATTAAAAGCAATTGCTTTACGAAACGATTTAATAGACTTTAACGATTCGAATTACACTGTTAAACGTCTTGCTAGCTCTTTAGTTAAAAGCAAAAGCGAAAGTGCTTTAAGATTACTAAAAGCAAGAAAGAATACCGTAAGCGAGCAAAAACTTAGCTTTAATAAAAAAGCGCGCAAATTATACTTTTAAATTATTATTTAAAGCCGGAGCTCGAAAAGCTAAGCTATAAGCCGACTAACAAAAGCTTTTACGTTAATAACCGGCGGAAATTTAAACCGAACAATTAAAAAAAAGCTTTTAAACTTTTTTAAAGCGAATATTAATAATAAAAAATTAAATTATAAACACTTTAAATAAAATTCCGATTTTAATAAAAAGCATTTATTTATTAGTAGCTGTATTAGAAAACGCGCGAGAATATACGCAAATGTTAGCGAGCTTTTTTTAAATAACTCTCGCGCCGATTCGAATTGTTATTCGCGCGTTTTAGATTTTATATCGACTTTTTAAGCTAATAACGAACTTATGCGCGAAGATAATAAAGATTATAAGATATTGCACGCTATTATAATAGCTGCTACTTCGTTTAAGCTATTATTAAAACAGCTTAACTCGTAAGAACGAAAACATTTAAAACCTTTTACTTATTAAAAAGAGCTATAACGATACTTATACGGCAAAGAGTTTATAAACAGAGCTTTTATGAAGCTGAATAATTTAAAGAAAAAGAATTGCTAAAAAGTGATTTTCGAAAGCGAAGCTAAGTTAAAACTTATACTTTTTAAATAAGTGTTTATATATAAGATTAGCTCGTTCGGAAAGATCGTAAAGTTTAAATCGAAGATTGTTATTAAAAATGACTTTTAAGACGAATTTATTATCTATTTAATTTACGCTATTACGCTAGCAATTAAATCTTTTAAGATTATAATAGCTATAGCAATCGAATTTGATTTAAAAGTAAAACAATTCGACGTCGTTAACGCTTTTATTAACGTTATAAAACATACGGATAGCGTCTTAATTACGTGTTATCTTTTTAACGGTTTTAAGTAAAAAAGTATGCTCGTAAAAGTCGATAAAGCTTTATATAAACTTAAAGACTCGTTAACTTTATAATATTTCGACTTTATAAGCATACTCGATAAATTAAAGCTTATACTACTCGGTAAAGAACCGTGTATTTTCACGAATTTAAATAAGACGGTTTTTATAGCGTTTTATATAAACGATATTCAAGTTATATATTATTACTTTAATCTTTTTAAAGCGTAAAAAATCATTAACGGTTCTAATAAAGCGTATAAGATCGAAGCGATAAAAGATATTAAATAATTTCTTAATATAAGAGTCGTCCGCGACTGTTAACGAAGAACGCTAACGCTTATGCACGACGCTTATATTAAAAAAATAGCTAAGAAATTCGAACTTACGAACGGACGTTACTTAGCAACTTTATTACCGTTTTATAACTTAATTAAGAATAAAAAGATAGCTTCGCGGAAGCAAGTAAAAGAGTATTAAAAGAAGGTTAGATTCGTATTATATATAGCGATTATGCTACGCTTAAATGTAGCTTTTGCAGCTTTTTAACTTTCTTACTTTAATATTAATTTAAGCGCAAAGCACTTTCGAGTTGTAAATTAATGTTTGCGATATTTATTTAGTTCGCGCTTTAAAAGTATTTAATACAGCTAGTTTAGCAAGTCGGAGCTAATAATAGCTTTTAACGCTTCTTACGCCGATAACGAAAAGATAAAGCGATCTTTTTCAAAGTATATTATGTTTTTATTCGGAAGTGCGATTTTTTAAAAAGCTTTAAAGCAAAATACAGTTATTATATCATTTATTAAAGCGGAGCTTCTTAGCATAGCCTTTACGATAAAAGAGACTATAGCGCTTTAACGATTTTTCAAAGAGCTGCACTTTCGATTTGCGGCGCTTTAAGTAATCTATTATAATAATCAATAAACAATTAAGCTTATAGCTAATAAAAAAGAGCGTATTTTTACTAAGCTTCGTTACGTCGATATTCATAATATATAGCTGCGTTAAAAGCACTTTAAAAAGAGCTTTCAAGTTTAATATCTTTTTATTAACGAAATGCACGCTAATAGTCTTATTAAGAACTTGACTCGATAAAAGTTTAAAAGCTTTATTAAGCTTTTAAATTTACAAGACGCTCGCGCGTCCGTCGAAAAGCTTTAATAACACGCATATGCTATTCACTTATTACATTTTATTTTATTTTCATTTATACGTAATTTAAAAGAAAATATTTATTTAGCAATCTTAACCGTTATTTTATTTTATCTTATATGCTTTTACTTTTCGCTTCTTATAATAAAAAATTAATTAAAGCTCTTAGCAATCTTTTTACTTTAGCTCGGCGCTCCGCAAGAGTCATAACAACGGCGAGCGCCGCCGCGAAAGCGGCAAGCGCAATAACTAGCGCAAAAAAAGCGACGATAATAAGTGCGACGGAAGCGATAAAAGCAATAAAAGCGGCTAGCGCAAGCGCAAAAGCTGCTATAACAGCAGATTAAAGCTTTTATATAAAGTCCGAAAAGAAATTCTAATTAAAAAAAGCTATTTAGATTAAATTATTTCGAAAGTCAAAGAGCTTGACTTACGAAAAGATAATATACTCGAAGCGCTCCGTATCACCGGACCACGGTTCGTTGCTATAAAACTATTCAATCTAATAAAAGTTATATTTAAATTAAAAGTCTTAAAAGCAAGAGCAAAACTTGCAAAGCTATCGAAACTATTTTTAAAACCTTTACTTTTATTCGTAAGACCGCCCGGACTATTAACAACACTTTTTAAAAAAGCAGCATTTAAAGCGAGCTGTTATCGCATAGCATCTCGAAGACTTCGGCGAACTTTTTATATAGCACTATTGTCTTTAGCGCTTACGAAGTTTTCGAAAGCGGTATTAATAACGGCAAAAGCAGCGGTGCAATTGCTATAGCTACTTTTAGCATACCGGAGATAGCGAATAGCGCTCGTATCGTAATTATAATAGTCTTTATTAAACCTCGATATAATCTTATTATTAATATACTTAATGCACTTTAAAGCTTTAACGGTCGTTAATATAAGCAAGCGCTTAATAAAAAAGTCTAAAAGAAAAAGCGAAGGTTCGAAAGTAAGAGTGCGAAGTATAGCTGCCGCCGCTACCGCAGCTGCAATAATAGCGATAGCTAAAGCAAATAAAAGATTCTTTTAATAGTCAATATAGAAATATTAATCTATTAAAAGCACTTACTTTTAAACGACCTCGGCCGCGCTTAACGATTCTATTAAACTAAGTTGCTTGCTTAAAAAGTATTGTATAAATAAATAGAGGTTGAGTGTTTGTTATAATAAAAAGGAACGCGCTCTTACTTATATAGCAACGCGATAAAGACGGCGCTAAAGACTTTCGCTACGTAATAAGACCGATTTAAAAAGGAATTGCATTCTTGACTGCTATTTAATTAATAATAACAACCGCTATTTGTTTATTTTAAACTGCGATAACAATCTTTTTTGTTTACATCGAGTTTAAAAAGCTTAATCATTTTTTTTTTTTCTCTTTTGTTTGCTTGCAGCTTAGCAGCTACTTTGTTGACTTAAGAGGTATATTATGCGGAACATATATAGTTCTACCTAAGCTACATGTAATATGTTATATGACCTCGCTTAGTAGCGCTTTTAGCACACTAAAGCTTTTAGGTACATGTATATAGATCTTGACGAGCTTTTTAAATAAAACATACTAAGCTTCATTCAATCTATAGAATCTCTTCTTGATCTTAGTACTGGTAAGCACTACAGTAACTTGTAACTTTTCGCTAGAATAAAAGATCGATTAATCTTTTTATCGATTATTTAATAAAACCATTCGATTTAAAGTTATTATGCGTTAAGAAAGCGAGTCTTTAAAAGCTATTAATTTCCGTAAAGCACTTTTAAAACTCCGAGAAAATAACTTTTCGATAAATAATTAAAAACTTTTTATTTTTCGAGCTAAAATGAATATCCGGCCGGCTGATAGAGATTCTTTTAAAGATGCTTTTCGTATTTACTTTACGAACGCGGAAGTCAAAGAATACAATTACGAGCAATTAAAAAAGCTAAACGCGCTTATCTTAAGACTTAAATTAGAAAATACAAGTAGCGCAAAAGCTTATAACGATAATTAAAAAAAAGCTAAAGGCTTAAAGCAAAGCATTGATATATGTATTAAAGCCAAAGTAATATTGAATTGAAATCTTTAAATAAAAATAAAAATAGTCAATAGGTTTATAAGAATAGTTAAGAATATCTTTTAAAAGGCAAAGGCTAAACTACGTAAAGAACTGTTATAAAGCATTATAATAAAGATCGAAGATTATATTAATCTTACTTTCGAAGAGATTAAATGGTTTTTAATATTTACCGTAGATCGAGACTTTTTTTACGATAATAAGCTTTGCAATTGTTAACAGCTGCTTTTTCGCGTAGCTTACGCAATCACGGTATACAAGAGTTAAAGAATTTCCTTAATTAAAGCAGTGATTAGCTAAGCTAAGGCTGAATTTGCTTATAAGCTATATTATATATTAGCTTTTAAAGTAAAGACTTTAGCGGAAGTTATGTTTAAGAATGTGTTTGATTTTTGCCGCTTTAAAAAGAAGTCTACTAGTACTAGTATTAATCGAGATACAGATTATATGTATCGAAAGCAGCTTGCATAGCGGTTGTAAAACGTGTAAATATATATATTTATATATTATATAAAAGTTATAAAAGTTATAAAAGTTCTTAAAGTTATAAAAGTTATAAGAGTTATAAAAGTTATAAGAACTAATAAAAAGCTTTTATTCTTCGCTTAATTCAAATAAAAGCTTATTGCTACGTGCATTTAATTTTAATAAAATACTTTTTTTGCATTTAAACACTTTACTTTTACGATATATTAAAATCAAATAATATATAGCAATTAATTATTCATCGCTTTTCTTATTGCTATTATGAATACGAAGCAAGAGAAAAAGAGTATTACTAATTATATTGAAAAGAGGGAGCTTGAAGAAAAGGAGCTTAAAAAAAAGGAGATTGAGGAAAAGGAAATTAAAGAGGAAGAGGGCATTGAGGAGGAAGGGGACTTTAAGGAGAAGGGCGATATTAATGAGAAGGACGATATTGAGGAGGAGGGCGACATTAAGGAAAAGAGCGATATTAAAAAAGAAAGATATATTAAAAAGGAGGGGGATATTAAAGAGGAGGAGGATATTAAAGAGGAAGAGGATATTAAGGAAGAAAGGGATATTAAAAAGGAAAGGGATATTAAGGAAAAAGCTATTACACTACTATTAAAAACTCTTTCATTAAAGGATCTTTATTACGCAATCTTATAACGCGCTTTTATAGCACTATCATTTAGCTTGCTACGTTATCGATATAAGTCACTCGATTTCTTCGGTAATAACGACGAAATAACTTGTATTATAAGTAAGATTAACTTTAAAAGACTTATCGATACTTAAAGCAGTTAATAGACTAATGATGATGCTTAAGGCAATAATAAGATATAAGATGATGTTTAAAGCAAACAAAAGAGCGAAGTAAGTAAAAAGAGAAGCTAAGATATTATACTTACGGATCTTTTTAAGTTTATATATACGACGTATAAAAATAAGAAAATATACGACGATCTTGAAGTACACCGCGCTTTTAAGCAGATCGAGCAATCGAACAAGATCAAAGCTAAAGCGGAAGCATTAGATTTAGCGCTAGATTTGCTTTTTCTTTTATTCTTTTTAACTTTTAAGTTAAGTATAAATACGATCTATTAATCTCTACCGCGTTTTACGCTTTTCGCACTCGCTTAACTACTTAAAAGACTTATTAAAATCGAGTGCATTAAGTGCAGCAGCTTCCGCTTATTACTATACTTCTTTATCTTAAATACTAGTTTGCGATTTACTATTTGCTTAAATTGCTGTTATTAACGACGCTACGAGCTAGCTAAAGAGTACTTTATTCGAGATACAGCTCGGAAGTGTTTAATTAGCAATTTAATAGATATAATAATATCAGAATATATAACGAAATTAGCGGACGAACTTTGTTAAGGCTGTTTAAGTAGATTCTTATAAAAAGAGCTCGACAACTTGCATACTTGTTATAATTATCGTAATAAGCGCACTTTTTAGCGCTTATAAATATCAAATAAGCGTATCAAAAAAGCATTGCAAAGTTTGAAAGCTTATAAACAGATCGAGCTTAAGTCTTACCGATTGATAGCTATAAAAGAGTATAAGCTTAACGAATTATAAGATATATAAAAATAGTTTATTATCAAAAGAAGTTGTATAGCTATTAGCAATTGATTAAAAGTAAATTATGTATTTAAATTGTACGGTTAATTGCGCCGAATCAACTGTAACCTTTGTAATCTTTATAACTTTTATAACCTTTATAACTTTTGTAACTTCTGTAACTTTTATAACGTTGATAATTTTGTATAATTATACATGCTAAGCCGATGGATTTAGCAAAAGCGAAAATTTAGTTATGTTACAAGAGTTATAAGAGTTACAAGAGTTATAAGAGTTATAAGAGTTACAAGAGTTATAAGCTACTATACAAAATATTGTATAGAAATACTGCTATACCGACGAATACGGCAAGTGTAAGAATTTGGCTGAGCATGGACCTTTTAAAAAGTGAATTCGTTTATCACTTTTTAATATTTATTATAACTTAAATATTCTTTTTAACCTTAACCTCAACTTTAACATTAACGTTTATATTAATTTTAACTTTAACTTTAACTTTAACTTTAACTTCAACCTCAACTGTAATTACAATTATAATTACAATTACAATTATATTAGCAATATGATCTCGCTCCGTTAGCGTAACTTTCGAGACGGACTTTATATAAAGCGGGTAAGTCGGCCGGATCCGGCTTATAAGCGGCAAGTATAACTATTTCGCAAGCAGTAATGGCTGCTTTTATATCCTTTTCTTTTTTAATAAGCTTTACTTTTTGCTTTACTTATTGCTTTAATTGAGCTCGCGGTGTAAGTGATAAGTAATACATTCTAGTTACTTACGTTAATATTATATATAGATTTAATTAAGACGATGATGATGATGAGAATAAGCTAATGATCTCTCGCTTTCTTTTTTCTTCTTTTTTTTATACCGTTTCCGCCGTCTTCGCCGTCTTCGCTGCTGCTTTGCCTCCTTTTTTTTCTTTCTTTTTCTTTGCTATAGATTTAGTAATAAAAGAGGTCGAGAAAAAAGTAAAAAAGGATAAAGTAGGCTGCTCCATGGGGCCCCATGGGGCCCCACGGAGTTTTGAGTCCTCCCTACGGGAGAACCTACGGGAGGTATAAAATTCTGCTTTCCTTATAAGGAAACCTTATGGGGCGTAAGGTTACTCTATAAGGTTTATATATATAAAAATATGCATATGCATAATTACTAATCAAGTTTACTAATCACATTTACTAATCACATTTACTAATCACATTTATTAATTAGAGACTCAGAGTATTAGTCAAATTTACTAGTTATAAAGGCTTAAGGGTTAGTAAAGACCCGTTCTTTAGCTTAAGTCTATTAGTTACAAAAAGTTAATAAAGACCCGTCCTTTTGCAATTACGTAGAATACGTTTAACTCGGTCTCCGCTTTTAGCTTAAGTTCTTGCTTATAAGCATAGTTTAGATGAATCTCGTTTAACTTAAGTAGCTCTTTTAGCTTTTAGCACTTATTACTTTACTTAAACTTATTCTTATCCGAAAACTTGAAGCTGAGGCGTTTGTATGCTAAAGTGCTATCGATAATAAAAAGGTATAGCAGCAATAGCTCTTTTAAAATGCTTTTAGCTTCGGTATAATCGCTATCGAAAAGCTTAAGAGTAAGATTACTTGAGATCAATCGAACCTTGATATCTTTATAAGTGAATTGCTTTTTAATTTAATTAAAGAAAGAGACAAAGTAATCGAAAAGACAAAAGACTTAAGCGCTTTCTTTTTAAATAAAAAATCAATTAGTGATTATAATATATAAATATTATTATTAACTTTATTAGCATTATAATGCTTAATGCTGAGCTCGTCGACAAAACTTTTGCGACTTTTCTATTCGTAATCAAGGCCGATTAGTCTTAAAAACAAAGCGGTATCTTCTCTATTATAGCAAGTAAATATTAAATTAACAACGTTATTATTAGCATAAACGATTACGAAATCCTTATAGCGATTAAGTATTTTATTGATTAGCCGGTTGTTATCGGTGCTAAAAAGGTTGACCTCGATTATAGCGTTATAAGAAAAGGGAATCGATATTGCTAAATAAAGAAAATAATTAGCTTGAAGCAAAGAATTAAAAGCAAAGAATCAAAAAAGTAAAATAATTACTTAAGTTGAATGTAATTGTAGTTGAGTATTAAGGTTGGTTAAGAAGTTGAGTATTAAGGTTGAGAAGTTAAGTGTTAAAGTGAAGAAGTTGAAGTTGAGTATTAAAGTTGAGAAATTGAATAGAATATAATTGTAATAATAAACAAAAAAAGAAAAAAAAAAGAAAAGCGAGTATTTATATAAAAATAAAAGTGTAGCTTAATCGTAATCAAGGCATTGCTTCGATTTAACAAAGGTGAATTACAATATTTGAAACACGAATTCGAC